GAGGGTTTCAAAAAAAAAAAAAAAAAAAAAAAAAAAAAAGGGCTGGCCCATTACCTCACTTGGTTAGAGCGTGGTGCTGAAAACACCAAGGTCAAGGGTTTGGATCCCCTGACTAGCCAGCCTCCAAAAAAAACCAAAAAAAACAGAAAATAGCATGTTGGTGAGGATCTTGAGAAAAAATTGGGATGCTTGTGCACTATCGGTGGGATTGTAAAATGGTATGGTTTCCTAAAAAATTAGTACTACCAAAGGATCCAGCAATCCCACTTCTGGGTATATATCCAAAAGAAGTGAAAGCAGGGTATCAACCAGATGTGTGTACAGTCATGTTCATAGCAGCAGTATTCACAAGGGCCAAGAGGTGGAAGCCACCCAACCGTCCATCAACAGATGAATGGAAACACGAAATGCGGTATGTACATACAAAGGAATTTTATTCAGCCTTAAAAAAGAAGGAAATCCTGTCACATACTATGACATGAATAAACCTTGAAGACACATTACAGTAAGTGAAACAAACCAGTTACAAAAAGGCAAATACTGTGTGATTCCACTTATAGGAGAATAGTAAAATTCATAGAAGCAGAAAGTAGAAGGGGTGACTGCCAGGGGCTGGGGGAAGGAGAAAACTGGGAGTTATTGTTTAACGGCATAGAGCTTCAGTTTTGCAAGATGAAAAAGTTCTGGAGATTCGTTGCACAACAAAGTTCATATACTTAACACTATGGAACTGTACACTTAAAAATGGTTAAAATATGGTTAGAGTGCCATGTTGTAATACCAAGGTCGAGAGTTCAGATCCCCATATGGCTAGCTGCAAAAAAAAAAGCTTAAAATAGTAAATATTATTTTAAGTTTTTTACCATAATTTTTGAAACAGCTGTTAAGCATTAAACAGTGTGACAACCAGCCATAAATGCAGTAGAAGCTTAGAGAACTGAGACACTAAAGTACAAGGATTTGCTGGATTCGAGAGTTCAGATCCCCATATGGCTAGCTGCAAAAAAAAAAGCTTAAAATAGTAAATATTATTTTATGTTTTTTACCATAATTTTTGAAACAGCTGTTAAGCATTAAACAGTGTGACAGCCAGCCATAAATGCAGTAGAAGCTTAGAGAACTGAGACACTAAAGTACAAGGATTTGCTGGACCTGAACAAATCCCCTCCCCAGCCCCCCACCCTGACAAATCTTAAAAGATGGGTCAGGTTGGGATTGGTAGAAGGCAGGAAAAAAGAAGTTCCAGGCAAGACTCGTGGCAAATGATGAGCTGGAAATAAACATTGTACATGTTGTGGGGAATAAACCTAGCATGTGTTTAACTGTGGTGTGCACGTGTGTGCACGCGTGTACACAAGCAGTGAGAAGTCTGGCCCAGTGAGGGAAGGTTTATATTGCAGAGTAGTGAGAACTAAGTACAAACAGGTAGAGGGAGGTCAGATGGTAAAAGGTCTTAAAAGCCAGGTAGAAGTCTGTACTTGGTACCATAAACCCCAAGAAGGCACTCTAGGTTCTTGCACAAGGATGTGTATTAGTTTTTCAGTAAATCTAAAAATTCCCACTAATCTCAGTTAAAATATGGGAAGCAAAAGGCCTGGATTTTTGTCTAGGCTTGGCTGGAGGGAGTGGGGGAATAGTAACCCTGGGCTGGGTGCAGTCGTGGCAGTGAGAATTGAAAAGAGAGGACACGCTGAGAGGGAGAGGGAGAGCAAGAAGAGATGAGGACTTGTGAAGCTGGCATCTTTCCTAACTTTAAGAGCTCTTGTTTTTCCAAGCTTGGAGGGTCATGTGTCTTGCTTTAGAAAGAGTCTGAGAAAGTTCTTTTAAAGGGCTATACATGAATCCATATTCGAAGGCCAATAGTCTTGTGGATTGGAATGGAAAGAACCAGGGGGAGAGAGCCCTACTGCCCGATCCCAGTGGCACCTGTCAAATCCAGGGGCCATATCTCTAAGCATGAGTTGGAGCATCCTCTTGAGGAAGGGGGTGACTGCCTTGATGAAGGCCGTGGTTTCGGGGTCAGAGAACAGACCTCCATTCCATGCTTGGTGGCTGGTTCCATCTGTGAACCTGGATGAGTCACTTCCTTCCATAGGCCTCTGTCTTCTCTCTTGTGGAATGCAGAAGAACATTTTTTCCACCTGCTTTAGCTGAAGACAAAAGTGGCTGGAAAAAAAAAAAATTTATATGAGGCACCTTTAAGCAAAGGGGTGAGGACTGGGCTGAAGCAAAGTCCAGGACGCATGCAGTCCATGGGGACTGGGTGTGACGTGGACATGGGGGCCAGATTGACACGTCCTGCTCTTGACATCAGAAGTGCATAGAGAGGATGTAAGTATTAAACAATATATAAACAAATGTTGCCCCAGAGAGCCTGGGTTCTGGGAATATGAACAGGGAATCTTGACCAAAATTCCAGGTCTCCAAGTTCCCCTCAAGGAGTCATGAGTATCAGGCAGGAGGTGAATCACCAGCCAGGGTCTGCCTTGGAGACCTAAATCACGGATGGGAGCCTCAGCAAAGAAGGGGCTAGAGGGAGGCCTGATTCAAACAGCTTGGGGGTCATAGCCAGAGGAATATAAGCTGCTCCCCTGGGTCCTGATGAGACCGAGAAACAATTTTGCTCGAGGCTCTGGATGCTGTTCTAGTTCTGAGGTCAGCGGCAGGTCAAAGCCATATTGTTCCCCATGGAGTCAGCACACAGTTGCCTCTGGTCTGGAAGACTACATGGAAAAAGGAGCTCAGAAGATTGTGGGCCTAAAGAAATTGAGTCTGTATTCTTGGCAGAGTCTGTATTATTTCTTAGTCCAACTCTACATAAGCAAAAGGCAGAGAGGTGGGCAGCTCTTCAGAACCTGGAAGTGAGACCAGAGGGTGCAGGAGAAAGAAGCATGTTGGCTGTTCATCTGCAATCGTGGTTTCACTGTCAGGGAAACGCCAGTTCTCAGAGCTGGTAGAAGCTAGTGGAGTCTCCTGGGGGAGGAGCAGGCCCAGGGGGTCTGGAACAACTTGGACTTCTAGAACGCTATGTTCAAAAGGAATCTCACATACTATCTCACACCCATTAGGATGGCTATTATTTTAAAAAAATGGAAAATAAAGTGGAACTCTTGTGCATTGCTGATGGGAATGCAAAATGGTGTAGCCATCATGGAAAACAGTTTGGTGGATCCTCAAAAAGTTAAACATGCAATTACCACATGATCAAGCAATTCCACTCCTGGGTACGTATCCAAAAGAAATGAGAGCAGGGACTCAGATATTTGTGCACCCATGTTCATAGCAGCATTATGCACCAGTAGCCAAAAGGTGGGAGCAACCCAAGTATCCATCAGCAGATGATGGATAAACAAAGTGTGGTGTGTGCTTATGTGGAATACTATTCAGCCTTAAAAAGGAAAGAAACTCTGATTTATGCTACAACATGGATAACCCTCAAGAACACTATGCTAAGGGAAATAAGCCTGGCATGAAAGACCATATACAAGCATTGTATAATTCCACTTATCGAGATACCTAGACTAGCATAGGCAGATTGATAGATAGAAAGTAGAATGACAGTTACCAGGGGGAAGGGGAATGAAAGTTATTATTTATGGGTACAGAGCTTCTGTTTGGGATGATGGAAAAGTTCTGGAAATGTATGAGGGTACTTCAAAAAGTTCATGGAAAGATTCGTATTATCTTTCAATTCCTTTTTTTTTTTTTGGATCTGTAAGGGGATCGCAACCCTCGGCATGGTGTGGTCTGCACCGCGCTCAGCCGGTGAGCGCACCGGCCATCCCTATATAGGATCCGAACCCTCGGCCTTGGTGCTCCCAGCGCCGCACTCTCCCGAGTGAGCCATGGGGCCGGCTGTTCAATTCTATTTTTGCATGAACTTTTCAAAGTACCCTCGTATAGGGTTGATGGTTGTACAATAACATAAATGTACTTAATGCCACTAAATCGTACATTTGAAAATAGCTAAAAAGGTAAATTTTACACTATGTATATTTGACCACAATAAAATAAATAAATAATATTTTTTAAAATGGTGAATTTTTGTTATATACATATTTCACCACAAAAATTGCCCTACCCCCCTCCAAAAAGATCCCCTGACACAGGGATCTTCCAGGCTCTGAGAAGACGCAGAACATGAGAAGGAAGCAGCAAAGACACGGAGAGGTGTGAGATGAGCTGTGGGTGGGGACTGGGATGGAGACAAAGGAACCTGCCCACAGGGAAGAGGATAAAGCGTGAGAGTCAGAGATGAAAGTCAGAGAAGTTGACTCAAATGGAGCCTTGCTAGGAGGTAGGGCTGAGTATGGAGAAAGAAATGAGGATTGGCAGGTCTGATTTTAAAAATGAATCTTAAGTATGGGTCTTTTCTTTGGCAGGCACGTGGGATTCCATGTTTAATCCTCGCAGGGCTTGTGCTGGGATGCTTCTAGGACCTTCACCCACTCCTCGTGGTCAGGCCATAGTTGCCCTCTGAGGCTTCCTGTCTCCTTTTAGAGCTGACAGACACCACAGTGAGTCAATCCTACCAAGGCCTGACTCATTTTTAACCTAGTTTTGGTGATCAAACATAATACGCTGGAATTTGATGCTACAGCTCAAAAGCTGTGGTGAGAACATGGTTGGAAGACCCAGGCTCCTAGCTGCTTCCTGTTACCCCATTTCATTTCCTCGTAAAAGGTGAACTGAACTGCATTTAAAGTCAGAGAGACTTGGATTCAAATTCTGGCTCGCCTCTTGCTAGCTGTGCGACCTTGGGCAACTTACTTGCCCTCTATAAGCCATGGTTTTCTCATCTGTGAAATGGGCGACATAGCTCCATAGCATCGTAGTGGGGATTAGAGGATAATGTATGAAGAACTTCTTAGCACTCTGCTTGTCACAAAGAAATTGCCCAGTGAGGTAAGGTTATTACTATCACCACTGCTATTGGTGCCCGAAGATCTTTGATTATCTAAGATCACTTTGCCACAGGGCAACAGAGGTTTATATGTGGACCTTCAGCAACCCCGACTTCCACAGCACTGGGTTTGGAGCTGGAAGGCCTGACTCTGATCTGTGTTCCCCCACGGACTAGCTGTGTAACCTTGGGCATTTGTCAGAGTCCGTTTTCTCATTCGTAAAATGGGGATAGCTATACAGAGTTGTAAATGTCACATGAAATAATATGTGCAAAAGCTTTATAAATATTAAAAAAGCACAGATGTATAGTGTACTCAGAATAAGAAGCAAGTATGTTCCTGGGTCAACATTAGGGTTGAGATGGGAATCAAGGTTGGGATTGGCACCAGGGCTATAAAAGCAATTATGATCAAGTTCGGGGTTGGCACAAATTTGGGGTCAAAGACATGGAGGGCTTCAGAAGCAGGGTCATAGCAGGGGGTTGGATGGGGTTTTCAGTTTGGGGCAAGAATCCAGGCTAGGAGGTGCACACTGTCTGAACCCTGAGGGGTACAGCAGTGTTATGCGGTGACTCAGAGGCAGCTGTGCTGCCTTGGTTAAGGCTGTAATCCAGTAATCTTGGTTTGGGGGAAAGTAGAGCGTGGGATCTAACAAATCCTAGGAGACCTGCAAAAGTATAGGCCTTTAGCAAGACAGTTCCATTGGAGTAGTTCGAGCACCTTATTTCCTCTATTCTCCTACCCCCACCCGGGTAGGTAGGTAGGTCAGATTACGTATCAGCCTATCTCCAAGGACATCCTGCACAGCACCGGTCCTCACAGCTCTGATCATCCACCTCCACCCATCATCCATCATCACCCATCTTCATCTATCCATCCCACGAAGATTTATTGAGTACTTACCATGTGTCCAGCGCTTTGCTAGACCTGTGGATCCGGCAGTGACAGAGGCGAGAATGTTTCCTGTCCTTCTGAAGCTTCAATCTAGAGCAGATAATACACTTATCATGGGTTCATATCCCTGTTACTGGCCAGCCCACCCCTCTCCCAAAGAAAAACCATACAGTGGATTCCATCTTCTGCATGTGTGTGTATTTGTGGGAGCAGCAGTAGACTCTAAAATCAGTTTAGGAGATAAAGACTGCTAAATTATTCTTGAAAATCCCTTAACTTACCAGGACCTAAGTGTTTAGAAGCACAAAAGCCAAGAAATAACATCTATTTCTCTTTGCAGTTTGGGTGTGACTTTGGGGCAGTGGATATCAAGATCTGGTTTTAATGGCATGTTACTTTAGATAAGGGAATTTGGGGGCTGGTTGGTTAGCTCAGTTGGTTAGAGGTGGTGTTATAACACCAAGGTCAAGGGTTTGGATCCCCGTACCAGCCAGCTGCCAATAAATAAAGGAAGAAAGGAATCTCTTTGTTTCTTGCTCTTTCAGCTGAGCGTGATAAGTTGGGTTTGAGTAAATTCACTGCACTAGTGATGGGACTCCAGTGTCAATACAAATTAAACCAATATGTACGTAATTCTTGTAAATATGCTGAGGAGGACCACGGTGCACTGTGAGAGTGTGCAGCAGACGTAACCTAGGAAGGGGTGGAGTGAATGATGTGGAAGTCTCCACGGAGGGGCTGACATTTAAGCCGAATCCTAAAGGATGAGTGTGAGTTATCCTGTCGTAAAGGGGAAACAAACTTTTTAGGCAGAGAAATTGCCACCAGCCAGAAAGGAACATGGTGCCTCCAACGAGTCAGGTTGGAGATGTTGAAGAGATAACTAAGGGCCCCCTCTCATCAGTCCCCAGAGTGAGGATCTATTTCACATGTTGTGACACAGTGTATGAGAGGTCTTTAAAAAGTTCATGGAAAGATTTATATTTGTATTAGTTTTTAATTCAACTTTTCCATGAACTTTTTGAAGTACCCTCATATTTAACAGCATGAAGGTCAGGTGGTTTGAGTCTCAGGGAATTAAATAATTCAGCATACAGGGCTAGAGAAACAGAAATAACCAGTCAACATCTTTCGGAGTCACTGGGCTAGCTTACATGGGATACAAAGAACACAAAACAAAGTATTGGAAACAGAGACAGCTGGATTCATGGCTATAGTGGAGTAGCCTGCACACAGACATACACCAGGAGTCACAAGCACAAGCACCCAAGAGGCTAAGCAAGCAACTTAAAGAGGACAGCAGGCTTCATGTAGGACAATAGGGAGGGGTGGGGACTATGGCAAACTGGAGAGCTCTTGTCTAAAGGAGCAGCTGCTACTCAGCTCCCACTAATTATTGCCAAGTTGGAACTGGGGACCAGTTCTGCTAGATCTTCTATATTGCAGCAGATGCTGTCAGTGCCGGCTTCCTCTGGCCCTGGAGCCCATTCTTCCCTGCTACACAAGAGGCTGGAAGTGAGATAACTTTGAGATACATGTTCTACACTTTCCCCAGGTTCTCCAGAATTAAGCTGCAGTTCCCAATATGGTGACTTCTTTGATAACTCATCCTCCTGATGCCTCCCTTCCTCTCTCTGTCTCACTTCCTCACTACATTTTCCAAGGGTAAAATTCCATATAAACTACTTGTCACTGAAGCCTTGTTGGGGCATCTGCTTCTGGGGAAAACTAACCTAAGGACACAAAATGTTAGGAAATACTTGAAATCTGGGTTTTTTAATGTTAAAATGTCCCAGCTAAATTTGTGCACATCAACAAAAACAGGTTTGGGGGCTACATTTGGTCAACAGACCATCAGTTTGGATTCCAACATAAACTAAGACTTTATCTCTCTTTCTTATAATAACCACCCAGAAAAGGAATATGTGTGCTAAAGAAATGTGTTTAAGAAAGAGATGAGAGAGTTCTAATGGTGAAGATTCATGCCACATGAAATGGCTGGTTAAAAGAAGGGGGATTAGAGAAGGGCTCAGCAAGGATGAACGTTCCTGCTAGAGCTGCGGTTCCTACCCACGGCTCCCTGCTGCAAGCTTCCTCGTTTGAATCTGGCCTTGGCAGTCACCACTCCCACCAGGGTAAGTCATAAGAAGGCCCCATGAGAAGTCTCAGAACCGAGCTTGGGAGTCACCCCCACAGCTGCACACCAAACTGGTTCGGTAGCTGGAGTGACAAGCCAGGGCCTGCTGGCTGCAGGGTCCTCAGAATCTGACTTTCCTGGTACCCAGTCCACAACCCTCCCCCGGGGCCACAATGACAGCTGCTGCTCTGCATGACCTTAGCCCAGCTCACCTGGCCTCTTGGCACAAGGAAAGTCCCAAGAGTGTGGGTTTAGCAGCTGGTGGGGGGAGCAGTAAGCCCCTTCCCCTGACACCTCTAGTCAAGTCAGCTTTCTAGGTAGTCTCGTGATTCAGCCACCCAAAGTGCTGACAGGAGGCACTGTCATCCTGGTGCTGCATAAAGAAAGACAGGCCAGACCCTGGAGGGTGGAGGGCTGCACCTGGCTGGGATGCCCAGGCAGGCCCACGGGTGACAGACAGCACCTTATGCCCAAAGCCCAGTCTCCAGCAGTGTTTGCAGAGCCTGTGCTATTTTAGGTTCCTTTGCCATCACTGCAGGCAAACTGGGCTGGAGGAGTCTGATTAGAACCGGTTTAACAGAGCTGGGGTGGAAGGGGTTGCTTCCCTGAGCTGGCACCTTAGCAACCAGGCAGAAGAGCTGTGTCAATGCTTCTGAGGCCTGGGACAGGGTTAGGACTTCAGCAGTGGCTTCAGAGCAACTTGTCAAACAAAAGAGGCAAAGAGGAGGATGTTGAAGTTCGGGGGCCAGAGGCTATAATTCTTGTCTCCAGAATAATCATGACAATAATAATACCTTATTATAAATGTGCTTTATAGTATGCAATGTACTTACAGAGACATTATCTCATTCAATCCTTACTGCAGCTCCACGAGGCAGGCAGGTATTATTCATCCCACCTTAAATATGACGAATCTAAGTCTTACCAAAGTAAGTGACTTGCCCAAGGTCACAGTGTGTTAAGAAAGTAGCAATGGAAGGGCCTGACTCAATGGTAGAGGGGGTTTGGGGCACCTAGAACTGCATATCTAGAGGTCTTTGCAGGAGGAAGGGAACTCAGGGAATGAGCGGGAGCCCTGGCCTGCTGCTTCACGGATCTGTGGCCTGAGGACTGGAGCCACACGCAGAGCCTGTCGGTGGTCTGGCACCACAGGGCCATCACAGCGGGCCTCAGGGAAGCTCCACCTCCTCTCTTGGCTGGTGGGTGGGAAGGGCTTTTCTGTTCCCCTCATGCCGCCCCCTGAGTCAGCTCTCTGGCACTGCTCTGGCATGTCCTGGGCCCCACGCCCAGGCAGTGAGGAGGCACTGGCAGATTGCCCAGGGAATGCTGCTGTCTTAACACAAGCCAAGTCCTAATGATGACCCCCTTCCGGGAGGCAGCCCGACAAGGGCTTCATTGGGGGCTGTGACTTGTAGGCACAGGTTGAGTCTCCCAAGCCCCTTGGACTTCCTGGTACAGGTGTCACTGGGCATGTGACTTCACCTGATGGCTGCAGCCCTAGAGGGGATGCAGAGACCAAATCCATTGTATAGACGTTCACTGAGCCAGGCTCCTATCCCAGGGCCCTGCTTGGGTTTTTGGTCACATCCAAATAGCTAGGGAGGGAGTTGCTTTTGGACAGAAAGGAGGAAAAGAGAGCCAAGACTCCAGCCTGAAGCTGCCTCAGCTGTTTCTGGGGCTCTGACTCAGAAGCTGCTTCTCAGGAATGTTGAGCACATGGGCCTCTGAGACCCTTGTCCAGGCACAGTGGAATGAACAGCTGGGTGTGGGGGTGTTTTAGCTTTATCTCTCTCTTCTCCAAAAACACCCCTCACAGAGAAACCCACCACTGGGCAGGTTGAGGTCTCATCCTGGAAGGCCCTGGTCACCTTGGCCAGGAAGGAAGCCTTCCCAGACCCCTAAAACCCCAGGGATCTACCCCTGGCAACAAATGTCTGTAGCAAACAGCTTGAACTAATAAAAATGCTGCATTGCGTGAGAGTCTGTCTCTATCTCTACCTTATCTCTCCAGCTCTGTTGTAACTTCCTTGATCTCATGCTCCTGGATGAAAAGAGTGCCCTGCACATCACATTCATTTGATAAATAAGTTGATTGATGGATAATCTGAGAAAAAGGAGCAAAGACCTGGCTGGTTAGCCCAGTTGGTTAGGGTGTGGTGCTGACAACACCAAGGTCCAAGGTTCAATCCTTTTACTGGCCAGCCACAAAAAAAGAAAAAAAAGAAAAAGAAGAAAAGGGGGGTAGGAGGGAGAACAAAGAAAAGAAAGAGGCAAAGAGAAATCAGTGAGAAAGCAAGCAGGCTGGGTTACGCCCCAAAATTTGGAGAATCTGCTTCTCCAAATTATTATTTCCTACAGAATTCTGCTTACATGTTCAAAGCAAAGCCTCCAAGCTGCTCAAAGAAAGGAAAGCAGAAAAGCTGCGTGGAGATGGCCTGGCACTTCCTGTCCCCAGTGCCCACCAAACTCAGATGCCCTCAGATCTGGCAGGAGACACTGGCAATCCTTCTGCCTCTAGAGAGGAGTGGGCTCTGCAGTTGACTCACCAAATGTGGGCAAAGGTTCTTTTCTCTGCCTCTGGCTTTTATTTTGTTTCCCTAAGACAGGTAGATGTCCCATGGGATAACCCACAGTAAAATGAGGCCCAGGGAGAACTAATCCTGAAACAGAAATCATGTCAGCAACTTATCGCACAATGCAAGAAGTTTAGGCTTGTCTGTGTACCTCACAAGAGCGTAAGAGCTGGAAGGGCAGGAACAGAGTCTGTCTTGTTCACTGAGCTAGTCCCACAGTCTAGCACCCTGCATGGAGGATGCTCAGCAGCGTGTTCAATGTACCTGTGTTGGTTTGGCTAATTTAGGGGCATCTGGAACCTGCCAGTACACTCCTACTATCTAGCTGCCATCAGCAACTTTTATTCTGGAACGCATTCCAGATCTCAGAATCTGATGGTCTATTGGATCCCTGGGGCCTTGGGGTTCTAGGATAGACTTGGTGTTGGAAATGACTCCTGGGGTGGGGTCAACTGAGTAATCCGTAGCCCTGCCGGCTCTCTAAATCCAGGCCTAAGGCGGCCTCTAGTGGACAAGAAGAATCACTGCCCTTTTGGGATGGAGGTCCAGCTTTCTCACCTCTACACCCCAGGATTTCCAGGTTCTCCATCCTTGGGCCCAGGGTCAAGAGCATCTAAGACGGCACCACCAGCAAGATAGGTGGATGAAATCAGAATACGCCAACCATCCAACAGACCAGTTCAACAAAAAACACTCATAGGGCCGGCCCGTGGCTCACTCGGGAGAGTGTGATGCTGATAACACCAAGGCTGCGGGTTCAGATCCCATATAGGGATGGCTGGTTAGCTCACTTGGGAGAGCGTGGTGCTGACAACACCAAGTCAAGGGTTAAGATCCCCTTACCGGTCGTCTTTAAAAAAAAAAAAGCACTCATTACATACAGTACATAGTGCTCTGCTGAAAACCATGAAGAGAAGGGAGAGGGAGATATGGGGAGAATAAGACAAGGGTTCTACCCTTAAGGAACCTATAGTCTAAACAAGAAGGCAAAAGCAAAACTGTAAAAAGGCAAATGGTGAGCCTTTAATAAGATGCCAACCACGTCAAGGGCTGAGTTCAGAGTCAGTGTAACTTCTTTGTGACTCAGTTTTCTCACCTGTAAAATGGGGATAATAGAACTTACGTCGTAGGGTTTTTATAAGGATTAAAAAATAAGAAGATAGGGAGAAAATAAGGCATTGTTGTTGTTATTCAAGTAACCTATATTCATTATACAAATTTTAGAAAGCACATTTTAGGAAGAAAAAAGTTCGGGGCCGGCCTGTGGCTCACTCGGGCGAGTGCGGTGCTGATAACACCAAGGCCACAGGTTCGGATCCCACATAGGGATGGCCAGTTAGCTCACAGGGTGAGCGTGGTGCTGACAACACCAAGTCAAGGGTTAAGATCCCCTTACTGGTCATCTTTTTTTAAAAAAAAAAAAAGGAAGAAAAAAGTTCACACTAATTCTACGATCTGAGATAAGAACTATTAACCAGTGATGGACATCCTCAAGCAAGTGGAGCGTGTCTGCAGAAGCAGGGGCATCCAGGGAGTGCAGCAAAGTCCCAAGACGGACTAGAATTACAGAGGACACACAAAGTCACACGTGAGCATTCGCACTTAATTCTGAAGGAAACAGCATTTCAGCAAAGATGTGGCCTATTGAGAGTGATATTATTTCCTGCAGATCTCTGCTTATATGTTCATCTCAGTGGAGGGGCCTTCCTTGACACCCCTCTATTAAATAGCACCCCGTTGCCACTCTCTATGCCTTCTCCTTGCTTTAATTATCTTCACAGCACTCACCACCACTGGATGTATTAAATATTTACCTGTTCATTTGCTTACTGTTTGTCCCTCTCACCAGAAGACAGGCTTCCTGAGGACAGGGACATTTTCTATTTTGTTCCCTGCTATATCCCAACTACAGAGACAGTGTCCTGAAAAGAGTAGGTATTCCATTAATATTTCTTGAAATAAAGAGAGAAAGAAAGAATACATACGCGGAAGTAGAATATAAAATGGGTCATCAAAGTTAGGTGAGAGGCTACTGAGAAACTCTGGACTAGTCTAGGATGGTGGGAGAGAAATGGAGAAGAAGGGAGGGATACAAGGATATTTAAAGGGAAAAATATACAGCTGATTGTCATAATGATACACAGCATGATTATAATAACAAGTACCATTAAGTTAGCATCAGGCATTGATCCAATCATCTCCAAATAGCATCATTAGATTATTATAACAACTCTATAGTGAAAGTTAGAACATCTTTATGTTATTGATGGGGAACATGAAGCTCAGGGAGCTGAAGTCACTTGCCCAAGGTCACACAACTAGTTAGTGGAGGGGCCAGAATTCAGATCCTCCCCTAAGTGAGATAAGGGATGAGTCAAGTTGACTCCAAGATTCCGAACCTAGGTCATTGGCAGACTAGTCATGTCACTGTCAGAGTCAAGGGACCTAGAGAAGAAAACTGGTCAAGGTGACAAAGGAAATTGTTGTATTAGTTAATATGTATTGAACCCTTACTATTCAAGGCACTGTTTTACCCTTCAAAGGTACTAATATTTCCTCCTCATGATTAGATAGGAAGAATAAGTTCAAGAGATCTATTGTACATGTTAATATAAAAGTGCTCTTATGCATATGTTAATTAGCTCAATTTAGCCACTTCACAATGTATACATATGTCAGAAGAACAATTTGTACATGATAAATACGTATAATTTTTTATTTGTCAATGAAAATAAATAAGATGTTAATTTTTAAAATCCCTATGAGGTGAGTACCATTATTATACCTATTTTTCAGATGAGAAAACTGAGGCACAGAGAAGTCATAAAACTTGCAGGTAAGAGACAGAGTCAGAATTTGGTTTTAGTGTTATTAACCACCATGTTAAATTGCCTCTCGATGTGGTTAATTCGTGTTTGGATTGTGTTGAATTTGGGTGGACAGCAGGATATTCAAGTGGGCACAGAGTCAGAATTTGGTTTTAGTGTTATTAACCACCATGTTAAATTGCCTCTCAATGTGGTTAATTCGTGTTTGGATTGTGTTGAATTTGGGTGGACAGCAGGATATTCAAGTGGGACTGTCTGACAGGTAACAATCTATAGCCCAGGTTCGGGACTTAAGAGCCTCTGGCACTGCCCTGGACTCCAGCTGGACATTGAGGCCCTGCCTGGCCTATAAGCCCACCCAGGACCAGACACTGTTTACATCTGGCTGGTCTCCAGCTTTATGGCCTGTTTCTTCCTTCTCCACACCCGCAGCTCCAGTTCGCCTGATCACCCAGTTTCCCAAACACCTGCCAAGCCCTCGATGGCTCAGGACCTGATTCATGCTCTTTCCACTAGCAATGCCCCCGAATTCCACCTCCATCTGCCAACGTCCTTCCTCTTCTTCCATCTCTTCCATTCAGTCTTTTCTGATTGTTCCAACTGATTCGATTACTCCCCTTCAAAAGTCCTATAGGACTTTGCTTTTACCTTCCTACACCCCAGGCACTTTAGACACTGGAGATACCAAGATGAACATAAGCAGACACAGAGCCTACCCTGTAAGGCCTACAGTCACACAAACACATGTAAAATTACACTTGGGACAAATGCTTTGAAGAAGTGGTGGATGATACTTTTAGGGCTGTCATTACAGAGATTTGATCTGGTACAAGAGGCTGGGAAAGCTACTCTGAGAAAGTAACACTTGAGCAGAGGACTGGAGGGGAGGGAAGAGTGATCAGGGCAGCCATTTGTACAAAGACCCAGAGGTTGTCCATGGTACTAATCTATAGTCTTGTATCATTGTTTTATTATCATGCTTATATTCTTGCCCCCAGGAAGGAAAGTTCCTTTAAGACAGGGCCTATTTCTGGGGCCGGCCCGGTGGCGCACTGCTACAGTGCGCCGCTTGAGGGTGTGGTGGCACTCCTGCCGAGGGTTCGGATCCCACATACAGACCGGTTCCCGCTCACTGGCTGAGCGAGGTGCGGGAGCAACATGAGAGGGGAGGTGCGGGGGCGACACTGAGGGTTGCGATCCGTTACCGGACACGGAAAAAGACAAAAAGGAAAAAAAAAAAAAAAAAAAAAAAAGACAGGGCCTATTTCTGGCCCACCTTTCTATACTCTATAGGAGTTAGGACTAAAGTTTGCCTGGGGCAGGGAGATAGTTGTCTAAATGAGCTGAGGGGGCCAAATGTCCATCATCGGATGAGTGGATACGGAAAATGTGGTATATCTACACAATGGAATACTACTCAGCTATGAAAAAGAATGAAATACTGCCATTTGCAACAACATGGATGGACCTAGAGAGAATTATATTAAGTGAAACAAGTCAGGCACAGAAAGAGAAATATCACATGTTCTCACTTATTGGTGGAAGTTAAAAATAAATAAATAAATTCACACACACACACACACACACACACACACAAAAACGGGGGGTGGGGAAGAAGACATAACAACTACAATTCCTTGAAGTTGATATGACAAGCAAACAGAAAGGACATTGTTGGGGGGGAGGGGGGAGAGGGAGGAGGAGGGAGGTTTTGGTAATGGGCCACAATAATCAACCACATTGTATATCAACAAAATAAAATTTTAAAAATAAATAAATAAATGAGCTGAGGGACGTAGCCTATTTCTACAGAGACCCTCAGTACACCACCCCCAGGTCCCCTGGAGCACCAAGAGGTCATCCTCTGCCCATCTCTATCAACCTCCATTGTGGAACAGTGTCATTTCCGGCTCCAGGCCCAGATTTATGTCTGTCCTTGATGGAGGTATCTGCTGACAGTGAGCTCGGGTTTTGGGTCTCATGCACTTGTGAGCATGGAAGTAGCCTGCCCTTGTGGACTGACTCCCTGTGAGCTATCGAGCCTGGAGCCACAGAATGAAAACTAGGGTGGTCGTGTCAGGACCGTGGGACTTTTTAGGGCCTCCGGGTCTTATTTTCCTACTACTGTCCCCTTGCCCTCTCTGCTCCTGCCACACCAGCCTTCTTTTCACCCTCAGACACACCCTGACCATTTTACTCTCAGGCCTTTGTGGCTGCTCCTTCCACCAGACATGTCCTTGTTCAGATGTTCCAACAACTATCTCCTTACCCTCGTTTAGTTAGGTCTCCCTTAAAGGTCCCCTTCTGAGGGGAGCCCAGCACGAGAACCTCAGTTACAGGAGCTCTCCGTGTCTCCACGCTGTCCCTCCCTGGCGACTCTAGCCGCATTCCCTGAGTCTGTATTCTCTGTAGCAGGACTAACTCCCGTCTAAAATTACCTCCCAGGTTCATTGCCTGCCTACAAGAACATAAGCTCCAAGGGGGCAGGAATTTGGCTGGATTGTTCTTTTCTGTTTACTCAATAAAATGAATGAATGAACGTCCGTCTGAGTAAGTGCCTGGATTCAGGGCTGGGACTAGACTGGGATGAGTCCACCGTGAATTTGGGATTCCAACCCAGATCCCACTGGGGGAATGAGCACATCTGCATGGCTCGTGCACACCATTCACTGCCCCCACATCTCTTCCTACCTGCTCCCTTCAATGGCACCACCCCAGCGCTGCAAGGATCGGGTATTTGCCCTCGGGAGAGCTACTTCACCTTTCCAAACTCCAGTCTCCTCCTCCGCAGACTGGGGCAGATGTAGATGCCACTCACAGTGTGGCAGCGAGGGTTAAACGGAATCGCTCGTGCAGAGTGCTTAGTGCGCGTGCCTTGCCAGCAGCAAACCCTCCCCAAACATTAGCCGCCCCAGTGGTTTTTGTCATCTTCGCCACACCTCCCTTTGTCGTTCGCGCGCCGCTCCCTTTCCCGTCCCTCCCGCGAGGCTCCCACCAGGGGGCGCCACACGCCGTTCTTCCCGCCCGGTAGTAAACGCTGGGGCAGGCAGCAGCCTCAGCGCCTCCCTCGCGCCTCTGGTGACAGCTCTGTCACCTCTCCACTGGCGCTGCCTTTCCACTCCAACTATCTCAGCCGTTTGCCCCCAATACTTTATTCACCTCACAAATACTTATTGAGCGTCTACTATATGCCAGGCTTCCCGGTAGGTGTTGAGGGTACCAGGAGAAAGGTCAGAGGTATGGAGTCTACAGGTGGGTGGCAGAGGGGGTTACAGGCAGAGGGGCCCTGACCTGGCGTTGGGGGGTGGGAAGGCCGAGATCAGCCCCGTGGCTGGAAAATGCAAGGGGGTTCCTCCTCGTGGGCCCTTAATCTCCTTACTCCAAATATCTTGGCTCAGTTACATATGCCTACAACTCAACTGAACTTCGGAGCTCAACTCTTCATCTCCAGTGCCTCAGATCCTAAATAGCCTCACACTAAATAGCCTCAGCCTCTCACTCAAAATCTCTGTCCCCAGTGCCCAGACCTTCAGGAGTTCAGCCCCTCACTTCAAATGTCTCAGCTCCTCCTTTAAGAAATACCATGGATACTGATTTAATCTGTGGTTCTTAGCCCTTTTTTCAGTTCTTGGATACAGAAGGAATGGGAAAACACTCCCACCAAGGGCAGGGGCTCCATTGTATGTAGATGTCACTGGGGAGGGGGCCTGTCAACTTTCCTGTGCAGGGTTGTGATTTGAAAAAGCCAGCCCCCTCGCCCCTGGCCAAAATCTTTACTCTGATGTGTCTTCCAGGGGAAACAGGGGAACCCTCTTTCCCTCCCAGTTTGAGTATTGCTTACGGAACGGTTTCACTTGGCTGGCAGGTTAGCTCAGTTGCTTAGGTGGTGTTGATAAGAGGTCCAGGAGTCGATCCCTGTACTGGCCAGCTAATGACAAAAACAACAAAAAACACAGAAATAATAAAGCTTTTCATTTGTCTTTCTCACTCTTTCCTATCCCTGTTATCACATCTTCTCTTTAGTTTCAAACGCCTCATCACTAATAATTCTCTCTGAGTTCCCTGAAAAGAGGCTATGACCTCTTCACCCCTAATTCCCCAAAACTAGTCATAGAATCTTAGAGTTGGAGGGGACCTCAGAAGCCGACAGTCCAGTGGGTTTCAAACTTCTTTTTAGCCAGGGACTCTTATCTTCAACCAAATCCTATGTGGAACCCCAATAATATACGCTGAGCAGCTGCTGGGGCATGGTCACGTAACCCTCAGGATTCTGTGGAATATGGATTGAAAACCCCTCATGGACATGAAACTGAATTCCCTTCTGATTGATTTTACAACATCTCCCAACGATTGGGTAACTATGAGGGGTCTTCAACAGATTCGTGGAAAAATTAGTATTTTTTTTAATTCTATTTTTCCATGAACTTTTTGAAGTACCCTTGTATTCTTTGCTTCCAAAGTCATCATCTCCCTTGCATTAAATTACCTCAATTTCAACTGCACCACTTTTCTTAGATCTGAAGAGTAATACTTTCATCCTCTAAAACTGCATTCCAAGACTAGGGAGGGAAGCTTCTCTCACTCCGGGGGCAGCCCCATGGTGTCATTTGCAGAGGCTTCGAAGAGAAAGATTGGAATGACACAGGGTCCCACCATTATCAGGGCATCAATTTCCTGGGTTGGTCCCTGTTCCTCGAGCTCTGGGCACAGCCTGAGTGCCCGAGTGCTGGTGCTGCCCAGGGGACCAGCTGCAACCGGAACAGCGCAGCCCGTGGACCCCATGAGGTTGCCATAGATACTGATGCGCAGGGAGCTGGTGAGCTGGTTATTATTTATACGTATCTTCCCTCTAATTGCTGCGGGGTAGCTGGAGGTTGTGTGGGTGCGACAGCGATGGAGATCAACGAGGGTACGTGAGGGTGTGTGTTTGTGTGTGTACACAGAAGTGTCTACAGCTCCAAACTGCCACTGTGGACACGTCAGAGTCTGCACTGTTGAGAGGAACAGGGAGGGAGGGAGGGAAAAGTGAGGCAGAGCTAGAAAGGGAAAAGGAAGAATGGGCTGAGTTTCCTTCTAATTGTGTAAATTCTAATTTTCCACTTTATTTGGATGTTTTGCAGAGTGAAAGGCAGTGGTAAGCACATAGTAGGCAGCTGATAAATATTTGCTGAAAGGCTGCTAGCTCCACTTACAGTACAGTGAGTCATCCCCAAGCTCCCCCCTCCCCCCGCTATTTTTCTCATCACTCTTCCTTGTACCCAGAGACGCAATGCAAAATGCTTTATATGGTCACCCTGAAACGCCCAGCGTACATCCCTCACCCTCATACTCCTCACAGCAGGCACAGGGGATCAGTCAGGGCTGTAGTCCGGTGTTTACATCTCCCCTGGATATCCCTTGGGGACTCCATGGCAGCCCTGGTCTCTGCTTATTCTGACCTCTCTCCATCTCCTCACTCCACCTTATATTAATGAATGTAAAGTTTCAAGTATCAGAGTCTGGAGGTCAGGAACCATGTCGCCTTGAGCACTGGGAAGGGCACGCTAATGATCCACTGATATGTGGCCCCCGTTTCTGGAGGGCGGGCTAGCCATAGCTTCTGCCTTTCGGGAGGATGACAGAAATTCAACACTTACGGCATCCCCATGACACAATCTCATTGCCCTTCTCCATGCTGGGACTTGGGACCTGGCTCTCACCCTGGTGATTTGAGATAGGAAGTGGCCTTACTCTCCACTGCTTTACTTCCTGTTGCCCTGGGGAGGGGTGGGGCACGGTGCTCTGTCACCTCTGTCCTTTCCCTTGGCCTTCTCCGCCCTCCTCTCAAGCAATCTGTTAATGCTTTTCCTCTTGGGCTCCACTGCCTCCTGTTCTCTAGTCTCCCCCATTGGGCAGTCTGGTTCTCGGAGCGGCTCCCAGGGCTGCGGGTAGGAAAAGGAGGGGAGCTCTCCCTAAGAGTTTGCTCCACCCACCCCTCCGGGAGGTGGCTTGGGAGGCTGGGACGCCTCTCAGCTGCCTCCTCTGGCAGAGTGAGCCTGCTGACAATGGAGGCCTGACTCCCAGTGGGCGTCCCGCTGTAATCAAGACCAAGCTGCAGCAGTTGGCTCAGCTCCACCCTGCCCAGTCGGGGCTGGCCCCCGACTCAAGGGTACAGCTGCCTGGGCTGGTCAGGAACCTGCCCAGACTGTTTCTCCTCCATCAGGACAGTTATGTGCCTCTGTCCCACCAACCTGTGATGGTGGGGACAGAGGAAGGGGTGGTAACGCCCTCTGCCATTCCATAAATATTTACTGGGTGTGGGGCTGAGTGTGCAACGGTGAACAGAGGAGGCAGAGGCCCTGGCCTACTGGAGCTACAATTTAGTGGGAAGGCAAATATTAAGCAAATGATTACAGCAAACAGTTTTTTTGTTTGTTTGTTTTGTTTTGTTTTTATAAAAGATGACCGGTAAGGGGATCTCAACCCTTGACTGGGTGTTATCAGCACCACCTCTCCCAAGTGAGCCACGGGCCGGCCCTAAAACAGTTCTAATTAGGTACCAGGTACCATTCTAAGTGCTATATGTGATTTGCCCATTTAATGCTCACAATCCTTTGAGGTAGATACTATTAATATTGCCCTTTTCCAGATAAGGTAAACTGAGGCACAGAAAGATTAAGTGACTTAGGGGCCGGCCCGTGGCTCACTTGGGGGAGCGTGGTGCTGACAACACCAAGTCAAGGGTTGAGATCCCCTTACCGGTCATCTTAAAAAAAAAAAAAAAAGATTAAGTGACTTGCCTAAGGTTACACAGCTGGCCAGTGAGTTGCCCAGAGATCCAAGCCAGGCAGTCTACTCAGAGTTCACTCTTCAGACAACTATGTCTAGTTCTACCGTCTCTCACACCAGTAAATGTATCGTTATGAAATGTGATGAGTGCCATAAAATAAAAGTACAGGGTGCCCTTCCTTCCATTCGTTCTTCTAGCCCAACGCACAAAACCTTTTCAAACCGTTCCCACTTCATCCCTTTTATTACTAGCCTGAGAAAGAACATTCTCTCATCTCTAAGGCTGGAGTGCAGGAAGGCAGAGTTCATCCTGCATCCTTACCCCTGGCCCGGTCTCCCTGATCAAACCGCGCCTAAAGGTTTTTTTTTTTTTTTTCCTAATAATGACCCCGATGCATACACAGGTCTAGACCCTCGGCTCCCCGAGGGGAGGCTGCTGGCAGCTGGCTCTGCACAGGCTGGGGGCACCTCCCGAGCGTGCAGTCTGACACTGGCTCCTTGACCTTGGCCCTCTCTGCACATGATGTGGGCCGGGCTTGGGGCTTGGGTCCCGCGTGTGGGGGACCCTCGAGAGAGCTCGGGGGTCCAGACGTCTACACAACTCCTCACACGCGCTCCCTTGCACGCATTTTCCCAGGCCCTCACAGGGTCCGGCCCGGGACGAGCTCACAGATCTTTCAGCTCAGTCCGCCCCAGCGGGTGGCCCGGAGGCGGGACCCGGGGGTAGGACCCCCTCCCCTCCCCTCCCCTCCGCTCCCCTGCGCGCGTGGCCCAGCCCGGGCGGCTCGCCGGGAGGGGCGGGGCCGGTGGCGGGAAGCCCCTCCCCGGGGGCGGTCCGCG